AAACACTTGATAAAGTTAGAATCGGTTGTAATCTGTCCGAAAAATTTGAGGTTAGTTCGGGTTTAAAACAGGGGGATTCCCTGTCACCTGTCCTGTTCAATTTGGCATTAGAACATACCATTAGGGAGGTAATGCGTACCGAAAAAGGGTTGAATCTTGGTGGGACAACATCCGTGCTGGGCTATGCTGATGATCTGGTACTCTTAAGCGAAGACATGGAAGACATGTATAAAACTAAATACGACAACGTTAATGAAAGCCGGTAAAGAACTAGGGCTCGAAATAAACGCGAATAAAACAATGGCTACCTACAAAAATGACGATACTACTGGTGATATCGATATAGATGGTAATACGTTTGAACAGGTAGAGAAATTTAGGTATCCAGGTTCTACGATAACTAGAAAACACGAAATTGAAGAAGAGATTAAGGTTAGACTGAAGGTGGGAAATGCTTGTTATTTTTTTGTGACAAAACTACTTAGCTCGTGCCGGAACTTAAAAATTAGAATCTATAAAACCATTATTATACCTACAGTTCTTTATGGATGCGAAACTTGACCTCTTACAATAAGGGATGAGCAGCGTCTTAAGGTTTTTGAAAATAAAGTATTGCGTAGAATATTCGGACCGAAGGATGAGTTAACCGGAGAGTTCAGACGGTTACACAACGTCGAATTGCGTGAACTGTATCCGGGTAATATAATTGAGGTAATTTCATCGCGGCGAATCAAATGGGCTTGTAAAATTGTTGGGCTTGGTAACGAGAGAATTCCTAAAAGGTTAATATTTGCTGTACCGAATGGTAAACCGATCTGAAGGGACTGGGTTTGGACGGCGAACGGTGTAATAAGCGATAGGTGGTGCCGACAACGAACCTTCGGGTTCGCTAAGCCTTTTATTATTTATTATTATTATGTTTACAATATGATCGCAAAAAAAAAAAAAAATCTAAATACGATTTTAGCATCTTTCTTTCGTTATTGCAATATCAAATCCTTTATTTAGATAAGATATCGAAAGAAAAACATCGATATCTTTATATTTATCCCTTTTGAACGAGCGTTAAGCCAAGAGCAACAATGTAATTAAACCTAATTAAGGCCTAGATTTTAACTGTTGAGGACCACTTTTGACTTGGCCGGTCGCAAATCATGATCTAAATTAAATGAAGTAATACCTTAAACATGCCAATACCAGATTATTCACGAAATCCCATTTATGGCGTGATAATGAGATGCAGGCCTACTGGTCAAGGTGAGGGGACCTCATACAGTCCCCCCCACCATTCCAAACCAGATGCACTGTATACTCTCCATGATTCTTGACTAAGGCAAACTTAACTTATTCTTCATGTATCAAGTTAAGGAAGATAATGTTTCTATTCTTCTTACTTCTCCCTTATTGCCAGTCCTTAAGAGTGAATTTCTGTTCTCAGATCCTATAACAACTCTTCATTGATACATGGAATGTTGTGTTATACTCAGACTAAGTCTCATGGTAAGGAAAGTCCAAGATTTAAATCAATCCTAGGGAGGTGCCAGTACTGGAGGAGCAGTGACATGTCACCGTGTCTTGGTTTCTAACAATGACAATCTGCTCCACTTCCTTCAACCTTACCAGTCCAGTGATAGTGACTAAATCTTATTTTTTTATATTTACAGCTGGACAGCGGGTAAAATTTAGTTAGTGGTGTTTCGTGGTAGATATACTTGCTTTGTGTAGGCATTTACTATGGCTACTACCTTGAGGCACAAGCGAAAGCTTCATGGAAACAAGAATTTTGAAGAAAAAAAACAAACAATGGAAATAAATAAAACCTAACTGCACGAGTGGAGTGGACTAGGGTTCTCACAATGCCGCAAGGTAGTAGTGCAGTACATGTCTACATAAAGCACGTTATTGCAATGAACAAACACAGTGTATCCACCACGGAATCACCAACAATTAAATTTTCTAGTCACATCATTCAGCTTTGGTGCCATTTTCTCATAAGTTTTTTATAATATATTAGGCCAAAGGTCACCAAATGTACACAGTTTTTACATCCTGTATTCTTTATTCGACGTTTCGGCTTCAGGAGCCAATTTCAAAATCCTGCAAACTAATTTTAATTCAGTTTTTAGAGTTCAAAATACATCCTTATCAGACACATATTATTTAACAACTATCAGTAATATAAATAGTCCAAATTCTATTTTATAAAAAAAAAAGTCTTATTATTAAATCTATCATTACAATATGATTCGTCCTTTAGTGAGAGTCCTTTAGTATGAATGCCTAGTGAGAAGCAACATTTTTCTTAATATTGTCTGCGAAAGAGGTACATAAATCGAGAACTAATAATATTCTTTTTTAAAAATAATTTTAACATTCTATTTTAATTAATTATTTATTTATTACAACTTTTTAGAAGTGAAAAAATGACATTCTATGAAATAAAAGAATGACTAAAGGAGGAATCATATTGTAATGATAGATTTTAGAAATTTTATGAAGCAGTGCATGGTAGGTAGATGATATAGATTTAATAATAAAATTTTTTTTTTTATAATCTAGACTTTGGACTATTTATATTACTGATAGTTGTTAAATAATATGTGTCTGATAAGGATGTATTTTGAACTGTAAAAAGTGAATTAAAATTAGTTTGCAGGATCTTGAAAATGGCTCCTGAAGCCGAATAAAGAATACAGGATGTAAAAACTGTGTACATTTGGTGACCTTTGGCCTAATATATATAAAAAACTTAAAAAATTAAATTTTACCTGCTGTCCCAATGTTACACATCCAGTCACAAAGTTACCCCATCTTAAGGTATATTAAAATAATTATTTAATTTAATGTGGATATTTTAGTACAATAACACATTTAATATAACTTAGCGGGAAAAAATATTAAACGGTTTTATAATTATTTAATAAATATAATTTTTTGTTGTGGATTGAAAGCATCACTTTTCAATTCCATAGTGTGATTGTGACAGAGATGATAGCGAGAAGAGTGCAGCAGTAGCCAACTATTTCTGCTCCTATCAGTTAGTGGACTAAGGCAAATGTGACAGAGTCCATTGGGCCAGTCGTAACCTACGGGTGTGGGACATGAGTTTTCACCCAGGAAAGTGAAAGGTTGAAAATACAGAAATCTGCTAAGAAAAACATATTTTCCCAAATGAATAACTGATTAGTGGCGAACAAGAAAAAATTACAAGTTATATGAGCTCTATAATAGTGACAATATTGTAGTCCCTGCCTTAGATGACTTGACCATGTAGAGAGGATGGAGGAAGATAGATTGCCAAGTAAACTTCTCTATAGCCGATCAGGAGGGACACGCCTTAGGTGACACTCCCGCTGTGGTGAATCAACGACGTAGAAGGTGACAGCCGTATGGGTTTAAGATGGAGAACAGTTGTGGATAGAGAAGGTTGGAGGAAGCTTGTTTATGAGACCAAGGTCTATTAAGAACCATTGAGTAAATTAATAATAATGGACAAGAAGACGTAAATTACTGGAGCAGTGACAGATTTTTCTTGGGATATAGCACTCCTAATCAAGCATAATTATTTTATTTTGAAGGAAAATGAGAACATAGTACAAATACAATTTCTAATTTCAGGGTTTGTTAGGTTTACTACAACTCTCAACACAGCAAGCAGCTCTTAGTAATAATAGTTATACTTGCATTTCTAACAAATTTGAGATTTATTCAATTTCTATTTTTATGATTAATTCAGAAACAGCTATTCCCAGATCGTGTTCTTTGTTGATTCACAAGCAGCCATACTGGCGATCTGCAATGGCCTGGATCATCATGATGTCACAGGTGCTAGAGATTGGATTGATAACTTAATTAAAAAAGGAATCTGAGTGACATTCAAATGGGTTCCAAGCCATTATGGTCTACCAGGAAACGAAAAATCTAATGAGCTCGCATGAATCGTCTCGGAAATGCCGCAAACTAATCTTCCTCTGCCCTACAAATCTGCTATAAGGATTTTAAAATCCTTTTACAAGGAAGAGGAATTGGCAAAAACAGGCAGCAGGAAAAAAATGGGAATATTTAACAGAGGGGCCGAGGAAAGAAAGAAAATTGTCTGCATGACGATGAATGGACATGATAATCTGCAAAGGCATTTGCATAGGATTGGAGTGATGGAAAGTCCTGTGTGCCCTATTTGCCAGCAGGATGAGATGTACGACCTGCACCTCCCAGTATGCCCCGGTCAATCAGATGTTCCAGATGTTTGCAATAACCTTTCTGATGGGATGGGCACAAAGGCAATGAACAAATTGGAGAAATCCGTTATGGCGGAAAATTTGTCGGCTGCGAGGAGCCGAATGGCTTAATATTCAATGGCAGAGGAGTTAAATAAAAACAACTTTTATGATTAAAGTATTTAACATAGTCACGGTCATAGAAATTGCATCACCTGTTCCTTTTGATTCTTATATTGATAACGCTGATTCCATATAATGTTCTTATTTATCTTTACTTATCAAGGTTACAACAAACCTTTAACAATGTTTTTTAGTTCAGTGTTTTAACTAATGCCAGAAAAAAACTGCAATTATGACCTTTATCAAAAACTGTCCTCGTCAAAAAATATTAAAATTGTGACGTTACATGATATAAAGGAAGTTTCACAGGAAATAGTAACATGAATAGGGTCGCACCAATCAACGATAGTCATACTTTTGAAAAAAAAAAAAAAAAGGAACCATGTAGTGAAAGAAAAAAACGGAGAAGAAAAAAACAAACGAACAATTTGAATGATTAATGGTGTGATTGTTTTTAAAATATTCAAAACTGGCAAGAAATATCTGGAGATCTTGCAGATAGCAACATGGCAAATGAAATAAAATTTAATGAAACTCTTACAAAATGATGCAATTTCTATGACCTTGACTATAGTTCTCAGGATTAAGGTAGCAACAGATTTCGATGATCCAAAATAATTCAAAATTTATATGTCAGGAATCAAATAGAATTAAGATAAGTTTCAACAGTTTGTAATTTTTTTATTTTTAATAATTGATTTGATCAATACATTTTTTTCTAATTTAAATAATATAAAAAAATAAATAAATATATTAAAAATTTGGAAAAAAAATTGAGATGCAGTGGTTTTAAATTTATATTACATTGTTGTCCAATTAAAAAAATTACCACTAACATCTTATTTATAAATATTATTTGCTATCCAACAGCAATCTGATGACATATGATCGATTAGTTTAGCTGGTCTATGGTTTTCCAGAACTGGTCACAGCGATAAATACAATTTAGTATTTCTCATTAGAACAAGATCATGTCTCAAAATAAATCTCTACAGATAGAGATGTCTATCAAACACAAAACAGTTTTATACCATAAGGTGACATTTCCAGTCATAAAAGCCACTTGTGTTATCTTTGACAAATATCTGATTTCTATACTATCATAAAAACAAAAACAAAAAAAGAAAGAAGGTATTTTAACATTTATGATTGTAACCATTAAATCAAAATAAAGCAGCTAATGCCACGGTAAATTAATGACTAAAACACTTAAAAATGATTAACTACAATCAAGGTATTTGAATATTGCATATTTACAACCAGGAACTGTAAATAAACATATATTATGTTCGAATAGGTGATGTATCCACTCTTCTTACTTCCCACTGTTCGCCAGTCCTCAGGAGCACGTCCCTGTTCTCGGGCCCTAAAAGAGCTCTTCCTTGACAAGTGGAATTGAGCCTTTTAGAAACTCTTATCAAATCTGATTTATTGCACCTCATTATGATCTCTCGGTGTTTTTGGAAAAGATCATCTGAAATACCGTATAAAAACTGGCGGGAACCTTTGGCACTAGGTGGTATCGGTGCATCGAGAGACTGGAAAACCCCAAGTTTGGCTTCTTCCACATCTTGATCTGTATAATCACTGCCAGACTGTACCCATTCCTGAGCTTCATTAAAAATATCAAATGAGTTAATCGGTTTCGGATCTGAAAAAGAGAAAAAACTAAATATGCCAGATGTAGAAATATTGGCTCCAGTCCCATAAGCACCTCCCTTCTCTCTAATCCGCGGAAGAAGATATTTCGAAGCTAGCAATCGAGCTAATACCCTCAGAACTGGAAAATCCTCATGAGCATACTCTACAGTGGGTATTGATAAAGCTGCATAGTTAACCTGAAATGGAAAGATGTAATGATATCCTTTTATCTTCTGGACAGGTTTTTCTTTTTTTGTCAATTTAAATGGCATTTTATGATCGCCAGGAAACTTTCCAATCATTTCATCTAATGCAGAAAGACTTTTCTCTTCTGATTCAGGGCTTACATTTAAACTGATACGCATAATTTTTTTGTTCAAAACTATATCAGCTATCCCTTGCATCATTTCTAATGTTTCACTAAATTCTGAACTTTGGGAGAGTTGTTTCATAGTTTGGACATACGAGAGGCCTCCAAATCTTTCTTTATGCTGAGCTATAGTAGAAACAAGAGCCGAAGCAGAGGACATGGCATACAGGTGCCCACTATCCCCGATTCCAGTCATAGCCTCAGTAGCCATTGTTTTAAGTAAAGTCTCAAATCTTTTTACATCAGTCAATGTTAGTTCTGTAAATATCTCTGCTAAAATATTTGTCATGCCTTTTAAATTTTTATCTAGACAAGAGGAAGCAAATGTCACACCTTCTTCAAAAGAGCTAGTTTCAAATGTACTTTCAGCGATGTGAGGGGAAAAAAATAAACCACCAGTTTTCAATGTGATCAACTGGTCAAGACGTCGGTAATTGTGAGATTTAGTCCCCATCTTTGTGATGACATTACAAAACAATGGTAAAACACTCTTAGCTTCTTCCGAGAGAATAGATGCATTTATGATCCCTCGGATGTAAGTCAAACCGTTGGTAGGAACTGAACAAACTTGCACAGGAAGGCCATTGACTTGGAACCCCTTGAGATTAACCCTTTCGATATCTTTATTTAGGTCAGAAATAGACAAAGTTGGGAGGCAATCAATTTTCTTGTTGTTTTCTTGCTCCTTACTCAACTCCAAACCCATTTCATATATGTTTTCCTTTTGATGAGGTAGCAAGACGTCAATTTTTCGAGCCAAAAGCTGATTAATGGTTTCTTCTTCTTTTCTTTCAAAATCCATATCGGGTATCATAGTCAGAATTAATCTATGGGTATTATCCTTGAAATATTCCTGTACCATATCTTGTAAATATAAAGGGTTGTCTGCTAAGGATTTCTTAAACTTCATAACTTTATCATTCACTTTTACAGCTCTAACTACATCCCCATCATGATTCCACACTGGTGTGGTACCAAACAGAATTCCTAGACCAAAATCAGCAGTTTGATGTTTAGTATTTATTTCAATGTTATGAAGAATAGCCTTTATCTGGTTGTCATCGAAGCCTTCATTTATTACATTATCAATAGTTTTATGATATATATTAACAATGCGTTCAAAATCTATTGGGTCCACAGCCATCAAACCAACTGAAAACATTGTATCTCTAGTATGGGATTCATAACCCGTAACAGGACTAAAACCTCCTCCAATATTTGGTTCGACTAATGACTTATAAAATGCAGAGTTTGGACCTCTTACTAACAGCTCACTCAATATCTGAAAGACAAATGTTTCTTGGATATTCTTAATATCGTTACAAAGGACAGATATTGCAATACTAGATTGTTTTTTCTTGTCAGGAGCTAAAGGATCGAATCGACAAGTGATTTCTTTTCTTCTCTCACTGTCCCATCTATCTTCTGAGGGAACAAGCGTCGATTTTGAAAAATCGTTAGTATCAGGATAATCAGCTAAATATGCTTTGTTAATAAAAACCAAATGATCTTGCAGAGGAAAATTTCCATACGAGAATATACGGCAATTACTAGGATGGTAAAACTTCTTGTGAAAAGCTTTGAGGTCACTGTAAGTTAAGGTAGGAATATATTTTGGATCACCGCCAAAAGAAACACGGTATGTATTAGAAGGAAGCATGTTATTCATAAGCGCTTCATTGAAAAGTGTCTGATTTTCACCATACACGCCTTTCATTTCATTAAAAACCACGCCTTTTATAGTAATAGGAGATTCTTTGTCATACAGCAACTCGTGCTCCAGTCTCCAACCTTCTTGTTTAAAATCGGATTCTCTAAGTTCTGGTTGGAAAACTGCATCCAAGTAAACAGACATCAAATTTCTGAAATCAGTTTTATTCTGGGTAGCAAAAGGATAAATTGTATAATCTGGTCCTGTCATAGCATTCATAAATGTAGCCATTGATCTATTCAACATCTTCATAAATGGATCGCGACAGGGATAATTTCTACTTCCACACAGAGTAGTATGTTCCAATATGTGAGGTAAGCCGGTAGAGTCGGTAGGAGTTGTTCGAAAACCGACACAGAAGGTATTATTGGAATCATCACGTGCCATATGAAGGTACTCACAACCAGTCCTCATGTGGCGCAGTTTAATAAGAGTTAACGAAAATTCGGGAACAAACGCCACGCGGTTGACTATAAAACCTTCGATCTCATTCCCTTCTCGTAAGTCTTTTTCTGCTATAGGTCTTCTTGACGTGTCTACGAGCTTAGGAGAATGGAGCGACCTTCTGCCGAACCTCTTCAGTGCAGCTTGCCACATCTGCAATATGATTAACCATTTCAGAATCTGTTACTAAGTTAATTAAAAATTAAAAAAGGTAGTTGATCCTTAGCCATACTAACTTAGCATCAAATCCTCTTTCTTTTATAGTTATTTTGTAAAGTAATTTATGTACTTAATGATATGATTTCAATAATGTAGATAATTTATAGTTTTTAAAATTTAAGTTATACTTCATATTTTTCCATCGCATATCTCTGTCTGTTTCTTTCCAATTGACTTGAGGGCAAAAATGATGCTAAGGTATGCTTGAATGTCTACTCTGTATTGGCTTTATTTAATGTCAGGTAAAAATTAAAGTATTAACATGTGCACTTTGTCTTTCCAGAATATCTTTTGATGTGAATGGTTTTTGAGTCAAAGAAGTGATTATTCTCTCATTCCCGCTCTTGCAGTTATTCTAACAAGAGTGAGAAGATTGATGAATCCGCCACAAAATAAAATTCAACCAGACCAGATTCGAACCAGCATCGCTAGATGTAAGAATAATAAAGAGGGCAATCAACACCTTAACATGATTTGCCATCATGACCTCACAGTAAAATATATGATTAAATGAGTTATAATATAACAATATTAAATTAGTAATCAAATATAAAATGAGTAAAATATGTTTAATTGTTCTTATTAAAAAAATTACTTCTACGACAAAAGTCTCTCAGAGCAAATGATAAGGGTGGTTCTTTACGTTGTATACCGTGCACCCACCCATATACCTTCATACAGATCAAATAACAGGCTAGATTCTTTTACCTGCTACATGCCAGTAGCAAAGTAAGCACCCTTCTTCTTCTACTGACTGTATGATTCTACTCCAACATTTCCATATACTTTTACATTTCTATGATCAAATCGAATCAACGGACCAGTTTTTTAACTCCTACGAAACTGAATTGGACATAAAAGCTTGCTTAAAAGGTCTAATTTATGATGCAATTTGTCATTAATTGATCAAACAGTTGATTTATACAAGAATATTTTATATTTCCAAAGACGATTTGGATTAGATGTGGTAAAGAAATGATAGATAATTGAAGTAAATACATGAAGCTACTTTACAAACAGAAATTATCAGGGAATTCTAAAAAGGTGAAGAATAAAAAAGAAAAAATTTGTTAAAGAAGTTTTAATAAGAATTTGAATGCCTTATTTGTTACACAGACATTAGGAGATGAAAGGCTACACATAATAATAATAATAATTATTATTGAATCAATACAACATGTAACATCAGGATGCACAATACTTGTGGGTAAGGAATACTTGCAGAGACACAACAATACAGCTAAGGTAGTGCATCAAGCTATGGCTCAGAAAATGGAACTCGTCGATAAGTATTATCCATATTATAAGTACCATCCAGAACCAATTTACTCCATGCGCAATGTCAAGGTGTTCTGGGATCAACCAATCCTGACGGATCACACCATCCCCCACAATAGACCAGACATTCTTATAATAGATAAAGGTAAGCAATCTGCGTTTATCATAGAGATTGGAGTTCCTTCTGATGATAACCTACACAAGGTAGTAGCGGAAAAAAAGAGAAAGTACGTAGAATTGGCTGAAGAGATCAAACAATTATATCATTTAAAGGAAACCCGAATTCTGCCAATTGTAATCTCGTGCAACGGACTGATACCGGAAGAAACTGTATCTTCTCTGCGACAACTAGAACTACCATCTCAAACGATCAAAAGAATGCAACAAGCGGTGTTGTTGGGAACAGCAAATATAGTCAGGAAGTTCACAAATATGAAATAATTATGAAAATATACAAATGTAATTTTTGGCTGACCTAATAGGTCCCCAACAATTACATATAAACACCATTGTATATGTGGAAAATAAAGAGATAATAATAATAATAAAACGAGATTAAAAATCCATTATAGATACATTAGGATACTGACAAATTAAGGTTAATGTTTTTATTTTTTTAATTCAAAGACTCATTAACATGTGAAGATATGTTGAAAATTGTATATAATAAAGATAATCCAATCATATATTAAAGTCCCATAAACTTGATTATTGTTTCATTAGATTTGATAAAATAAATGTCTGTGAGTGTAAGCCTAGCTGAAAAATGAAACGGCAATTTAAAATTATTATGCTATGTATATGATTGGAATGATAATGCAACTTTTCATCAAAATCTGCTAACTGGAAGTGCTACCTTATATCATAGATTTTATGATTGTCTTGAAAATGGCTCTAACAATCTTGATTATTGTTATGCCTACGTACATTTAAGTAATTTTTAATATCAAAGAAGTAAAACTTAAAAAAATATTCCTCTTCAATCAGAAAAGTTTCAAAAAGGAAACAAATTCCATATTTTCGCAAAAAATTACTGAAGTCTGAATCAAACTTTTTATTTTTTAATCCACATTGTATGCAATGATACTGAAATAATCATTAGAAGTTACTTTGTAGTTTTTCTTTAATCACAGATTTAGAAGAATATTGGGTACAACATCGGTTAACCCTGAGAGGAATGCTAGAAGAAAATTGTCCTCAGTTTTAAATTGGGCTGTTTTTTGAAAGTAGGCAATCTGCCTGGAGATTGACGTTGATCTTTCCACTAGCCAGCTTGATTTTTAAACTATTGGATAGAAAATAAATGCTTCCAAGAAACTATATGGAATATTCCTAGAAACTAAACAGAAATTTTAAAAATTTATTATGAGCTTTTCACCGCTATATGGACTAGCCTCAAAATTAAACTGACCGAGACCTGGAGGAACACAAGCTAATATGATTTGGACATCAAATCAAGGATCCAAATCAAGAAAGAACAGCGAAGAAGACCTAAGAGACCAGTGCGGAAGGAAGACCCACACATCTCTTGTGAGGACAGTGTCCGAAAGGTGTTCACGAGGAGGGAATGGATTGGAGAGCTGATTAGAGAGTGAGGCACCTGCTCAGGGATTTAATGATGATGATTATAAGCTTTTTCTTTTTCAAAAGAAATTTCATTATCAATTGTTTTACACAATTATTATATTATACATGTATGAGAAAAGAAGTAGAATATAAAAACATTTCATGCACAATTTCGGATGAGTAAAACATATGAGTGGCTTCAAATCAAAGATGGACATTTGTCATTTTTAATAAGTTGAGAAAAAAACAAATTTCTGTAATATAGATTCAATTTAAATCAATTATAATGATTTTTTTTTTTTACATAATTCAACTTGAATATTCTTAAACAAAATCATCAGAAACAGTTTAGAGTTGAACCTCTAAAACGAAAATTGACTTTCCTCCATTTTCTGAAAATTACAGATGCCTGTCTTTGATATGAAGCACATATGTTTATCACCATAAATAAATTTACTAATTCAGCAACTTTATATCCGACAACATATTTAAGTAGTTACCTAAATGTCATAGATTTATTCCAAAAACTTATTAAGTCACATTTTAGAAAACTGAATCAGTGAATAATTCGATGAATTTTTCATCTGTGAGATCCCAACATTATGTATGTATTTAGTGTGTCTATTTTTGCCTTATCAATGGAAGGCTATGAAAACCTCCTAACATTATATTTGTAATGTTTTACTAGTGAAAACATAAGAGAGCTTTAAAGCATGAATTAATAGAAACAGATTTAGTTTCTATAAGGTATAATCCCCTTACTTATTTATAAATTACATATATCTAAAATCTTTGAAACCTCTTGTTGAACATTGAGGTCAGAGACTTGAGTAATGTGGTTTAAAGAAACTGATGGGAGTTTTGAGATTTTCATTGCCATCAAGCTTATTGTCAATATAATAGACTTAGTGTTATGTTTATGATGTTAATGAATATTTTTAAGAATAGATATCACTTAAATTCACACATGTATTCTTTAACGTATAGTAGCTTTATTAAAAATGCACTTCAAAGACTTTTTGCAATAGGTCAATTTTGGCAGAAAATAATCTCTACTTGGAGTGGTAAGTGAAATTTGTATTGTGGGGGCAACAGAGATTTTAAATTTTGACGGCCTTCCTGAATTCTTCTCTAAATGTTGAAAAAGATTTGTTGGCCCAGTATATGGTTTGCTGTTGCCCATCGAATATAGTGATTAAAACATGTATCTTAATGTTCTATTGTCTTTTTTTTAAAGTACGGAAGCGATTTCCTATCACTGCAATTCCACTGTAATTTATTTCTAATAGCTAATTTAAAAGCTAATATTTTTTTTTTATTTGTTTATTTAGAAATATTACATTCTGTCACATCAAGGACATTTATAATAGTGTTCAGAGAAAGCACACTCACACTCTAAAAAGCTAATATTAAAAAAACAAAAACAAATAATAAAATAAAATACTTGATGTACAATTATTATTCAATAATATCATGAAACTGAAAGATAAAATGTCTTTGGAAAATCATGACTGAACTGGAAGTTTCTGGTAAGTAAGTGAGACAGACAAAGGCATGTACAAATAACCCCAAATGTAGAGTCCTAATACAAGGAGAAGTATCTGAAGCCTTCAAAGTTCGAACGGGCTTACGGCAGGAAGATGGACTATCACCGATGTTGTTCAACTTAGTCCTGGAGAAGGTAATAAGAGTAACATCACAGGAAAATGAGGGGTCCACGTCGGAATGAATTATAAAATCCTTGAATATGCATATGATGTAGCTGTCCTTAGAAGAAATCTTCATAAAAGAAGACATTGAGAAACTCGCTACAACTCTGATAAGAGAGGCAGAGCAGATTGGCCTACAAATAAATGAAGACAAAACAATATATAATAAGACGAAAATTCCAACCCAATAACAGGATCTGCATAGAAGGAAAATCATTCCCAAGAGGAGAAAAATTCAAATACCTCGACTTCACAATAACCTCAATGAATGACCAACAGGCAGCATATAACTAGCACAAACAGATCTTTCTTCTACCTCTCAAAGGTATTGAAATACCGAAAAATCTCAAATTAAGGTTGTACAATACTATGGTAAAGTTAGTTCTAATATATGGCTGTGAGACCTGGACACTAACCAGCACCCTAGAAAAAAAAGTGTTGAAAGATTTGAGAGGAAAATCCTCCACACGATAACCGGGGAGATCTGGGATCATAATACTAACACATGGAGAAGAAAGACCAACAAAGAACTGCTTACAGAAACAAACTGGTCAATCAATACCCAATGACATGAAGATTAAGATGGGCGGGGCATGTAGCTCATAGTAATCCATCTGGAAGCCTCTACGTAACAATGAATGCCTCAATAGAAAGCAAAAGACCATGTGGAAGGCCAAATAGCAGATGGATAGATAGAATCAACAAATATGCAATAGAGCTGCGTGCAGAGAAATGGAAAGAAATAGCCCAAGACAGGCAGAGATGGAGCAGGCTTGTAAAGGCAGCAAAAGATCTACATGGTTTGTAATGGCAACAGATAAAATAAATAAAAAAATAATGAAACTGAAATAAATACCTTGTATTTTAAGAGTCTTATGTCGAAAGGTGCAAATTAACTACGAAATATACATTCAAATCTGCTATCAAATGAGCTGAATCTGAAAAATAAAACAAAAGAAAATCGGATATTATTATTTTGGCATGCTAAATAAAGATAGGTAAACCTTAATAAAACAATCATACATTTGATTTTTAATTTTTACTATAATGTTATCAATGTTAGAATAACTAGAAAAATCTACAAAATCGTAAAAATTGATAGTAAATATGGCAATCTTTATTCTCCTAAGGTGAATATTAAAATAAAACTCATTTCACACACTTTGAATGCACTTGGGGGTGTTAAATAAAAGTTCTACTCCTCTTTGTCCAGGACCATCCAATATTTACTCTGAAGATGGCTTATAAAAGCCTTAAAATTTAAATAATACATATTTGAAGTTAAGTTTTTATTAATTATAGAATTCTAAATAATAATAGGATAAAGTAAAAAAGTTAGGAAAGAATGTTGAACAAGTTCTCTCGTTAAGGTCAACAGCGATCTATCACAGAAAAGTATTATTCAAGTTTAAATTGAAAACTTTGTTTACAGAAAAAATCAAATATTTGAGAATGTTAAAAAAAAAACTACAAGAGAAATAGCTATAAGGAATGCCATGACCTGGAAGTTTATACTTTTTCAGAGTTAATGAAGAAATGTTTATTAAAGTTGGGTTGATTATGGCCCAGAAGTATTGAATTTAATTTGGTAGTGGACTCAATCTCACACAAACCAGAATTGGTTGATTGCGTGAAGAACTGTAGCATTACTTCCCCAGTTGGAGCATATAACTTTGTACACAGCATACGAATAAACAACTCTTATTAAGAGAATTGCGCTTTATGGAAGAATTAAATTATAATTCTGGATAAAATTTAATTTCCTAAATATAAAAACTGGTACTAGTAGTTTTAAGAGTGGGAAGTGATTTCACGATTCTCTACAAATGATAAATCTTAAAAACATGTAACTTAAAATAAAGCATGGGCACTAGAATAGTAATATAAAATCAGGAACTAGTGGAGAAATAATTAATTTTTTAAACTAAGGTTATATTTGTTTTCCACACATATGCCTTGGTAGTTTCCATGTAAATGATAATACAAGTATAGAAAATATGAAGTATTTCATAAAATATTAATGTTCTTTAAATAAAAAAAAAATTACAGAATTTTATGATAAGTCTTTACTGGGGATGTAACAGTTATTATTTAAGAACCAGGACATATTAATCCTCTATTAAAAAATATATATTAAGCTTAATCTAAACAAATGATGTATATCAAGTCTTACAGGCAATTTATCTGATGCAATATTTCACTAAGTGAATTGGCTAAATAATAACTGAAACAAAAACAATACTATTTCATAAATCAATGGCTATTCGTTATATTAAATGTCTATGAAATACTATATATACATTAAAAATCATGAACTTGAAATGTTATTTCTCATTTACATAAAAAGTTTAAAAATTTAAAAAACCTTACGTTTTGAATTTCAAGCAATAAATTACAAGAATGTATTCTTGAGTTGTGCAGTTCTATCAAAATCTAACACAACAGGTAACTCCATAAAATTTTACATATTTCGAATAATAATGAATTGATAACAACATTGAAATATTACCTTCCCCGACGAGATTGACATGTCTTTGAGTAAAAAACAATATACGGTCGTTTCTTCTTCAAGGATAATCTTACAAACTAAATACTATATCTATTAATTATTATGATCAAAGAAAATTGATTATGTTTGGCTCTAATAATTTTTAAAAATAACTTGGTTTATCATCTAGTCTTTGTTTGGTAAACGAACTTCCTCCATTGAACAAAGTTAATCTCTTTGTATATTTTAAATACTTTTATATCTATGTACTTTTCTTTTCATTGCTTGTTTAGCAACACATTATTTCTTAATTATTATAATTAAACTATAAGTTATTTATCTCTCTCCCGTACATATAGTTCATAATTAATTTAATGTACTTATAATTGGATACCTACAAAGACTGATCAATATCTAATGATAAGAAGGCCAGGAGGTTAAGATGGTCTAAGAAAGTAGCTCGGACCATCCATCAGGAAGCCTCTACAAAACAATGAATGCTTCAATAGTAGTCAAGAGACCTGAAAGGCCAAAATCTTGCTGGATACATCGAATCAACAAAGATATCTCAAAGCTGAAAGCAGATAACTGGGAAGAAATAGCTTCAGATGGACTGAGATTTGTATCTTTAATGGTCATTTATTTATTTTTAAGGCCTTCAAATTTTGCAACTAAATCTTCTGTAAAAGTGATCTAAATCTAGTGTAAAAAGTCAAGTTTTTTAAAGAGAAGAAGGGACGAGAATCTTACTTGTCGTCACGAAAAAATAGTTTTTGAAAACCAGACGTCTTAATATGCAGAATTTCAAAAGAAGAATTCATTCTTTAAAGGATGTAATACAGAAATATATAATCTCCTTGGTAAACGTGATACTTTTTGAATCATGAAGCTTTTAATGCTGGGAAGATTGAAGGGTGCTGGCCGTGAAGCTCGAATTTAGAGGATGAGATCTCCAGAAAAATAACGTGTGAGGTCATTCAAAGTAACCGACGACGTATTAAGCCACTATGCTCGCAAGCCAACGGCCCTCCAAGTGTGTAACAGTTCGAGAATATTCTAGAGGGCTCCGATGGCTGTCGGTTTTTGCTCAAACTCAAAGGAGAGTGGGGCAAGTTCGTGGATGGACGAAAAATGTCTTCTACTTATCAAATTATACCACAAATATCCAATATTGTGGAATCCTAGAGATACAAATTATAAAAAAAAAATTTAAAGAAGATCCATTGAAGGACATGGGAAGTGCTAAGCAATTACCTGCAGTTTCTAAAAATGAGATGATTGTCCTTCCTTCAGGAATTCGAAGAGAGAAAATAAAACTAAGAAGAGGAACAGGGAACGGTAATAACGAAAGTTTGTTTTACACCTCACTCCAAATATTCGTAAACTTTTTGTTTTATTTTTTTAGGTCTTCTAAAATCTTTCACCAAATAATGGATTAAAATGTAGGCTACACTTGCCATTAGCAGGGACGATATTTTATTCCTTCAATAGCACGTGAACACCATGAAGCACAAGTTACTACAAGTAGAGTGGCCCTGTTTGCACATCCCTTCTCCATAAACAGAATAAGAGAGTTCGCGAACATAGTAGCATACAGAGATGGGTCCCCCTAAGGTCGATGGCGCATAAATCTCTTTCCACGAAATTTTATTACTCTCCTGCACTTAAAAACAGTATAAGCAAAGGACGAATTAGACAAAAATGTACATCAAATCCAAATCCCTTGCTTTGTCTCCGTTCGAATATCTCTTTACTGAAATATCCACCTCCACATACTCATTGCTCATTGGTGCCATCTACCGACCTCCTAGAATCCCCTTTGATGAAACACTCAAGAACATCCTCTACGAACTGAGCTCTTCCTATTCCAATATTGCTCTGTTCGGAGATTTCAATACCAACCTATTATTTCCTTCGTCTGATCAAGCCTATTTATTAAACCTCCTCTACTCTCTTAATCTGTATATAGTTCCGTACAACCCTACCCATCACACCCAATACTCAGATTCTTGGCTCGATCTTTGCATTATTGACTCTCCTGACAAACTCCTCGCCTCATCACAGCACCTGGTTCCGTTTTTGTCTGCTCACGATCTCCTATAACCTTCCTGTCCCTCTATTTAGTCCCCGATCTATATCTTTCAGAAACCTTAATCTCCTATCATCCGAAACTTTGATGCCCGATCTTGACGCAATCCAATGGGACTCCATATACTCTTCTAACTCCATTGACTTCATGGTAGAAAACTTAACCAATCAACTGCACATTATCTTAGACTGTCATGCTCCTCTTAATGTCAGAACAATCAAGTACCCACCAGCTCCTTGGTTGACGCCTGCGATAAAAAATTGCATCAAACGAAGAGACGCAGCAAGCAACGAAGGCTTAAGCGCACTCGACTCCCCGAAGACTACATGAATTTCAAGCTGCTTCGAAACAGTACGCAATCCATGATACGCCGTGCCAAATCCCACTACTAACAACAATCCTTATCCAGCAAACCAAACTCCAAAGCTATGTGGGCAATCCTCCGTAAATTATCCTTAGGCAAATCCACCCAAACCCAGACTACCTCTATTTCAGCTCAACACTGATTTTGTCTCCTGCTCATCTGATCCCTCTGTCCAAGCACCAGTTCCACCCCTCATACACCCTCCCTTTAATCCCAATCATTTTTTCTTTTCTCATATTACCCCTGACGACCTCCTTAAATCCATCTGTAAATCCCAAACCAAAGATTTCGGACCAGATAATATTCCAGTTAAATTAATTAAATCCTCACGTCCATCCATTTTCCCAGTCCTGTATCATATCTATAATTTTTCACTACAAAGTTCCACTTTTCCTAACACCTAGAAAACCGCTCTTGTTCGTCATTTGAACAAAATCTCTAACCCCACAACCCCTAATGATTTCCGTCCAATTTCCCTCTTGTCTGACCTTTCCAAACATTTGGAGCGAATAGTACAACATTTGAACTGCTTCCAGTCTGGTTTCAGACCAGACTACTCCACTCATTCTGCCCTTATTAAAATCTCCCAAGATCTCCACACAGCCATAGATCAACAAAAACTCACCATCCTGATCCTTATTGATTTCTCTAAAGCATTCGACTCAGTTGACCATAATATCCTCCTATCCAAACTTAAAAATATCATCCAGTACCCTTAAGTGGTTCTAATCCTTTCTCACCGATCGCTCCCAGTACGTTGTAGTTCCTAATAACCCTCAATCAATGTCTCTACCTCTGTCCAGAGGCGTTCCTCATTATCCCCCACCCTCTTTTCCATCTACATTAATGACCTCCCTTCCTCTATCAATATCACCTATACGCTGATGACGTCCAAATTTATCTTTCCTTCAACCCCGCAGATTCCTCTAATGCTATCCTGAAACTGCAACAAGACATCAATAGAATATGCGCATGGGTAAATCTTAATAAGCTGACATTGAATACGGAGAAGACAAAAGCCATCCTGATCGGATCCCTCTCACTCCTCAAATCCATTTCAACACCTCCTAATCTTCTTCTGAACAACTCACCTATCTCCTTCCATACCACCGTTAAAAACCTAGGCGTTACCCTCGATCAAAGCCTCTCCTGGAAACCACATCTCCCAAATCTCCCGCTGTACTATATCCACCCTGAAACAGTTTAACCATCTACGTTATCTTCTTCCGTTCAAAATCCGTCAACTCCTGCTCTCCTTTCTTGTTTCCCCCACTTCGACTATGGCTGCATGGTGTATGGTGGACTCTCGGGAGAACTCGAAGCCAAACTTAAACATTTAATGAATTGCTCAATCCGATTTATCTTCGGTTTCTCAAGGGATACGCATATTACCCAGTTCTACACCAAGATAAAGTGGCTTAGAACTGTTTTACCGCCGTCAATATTTTCTGGCTACCTTCCTATACCAAGCCATTACAACACGGCGACCTGCCTATATTCTACAGATCCTACAATTCAAACGCTCCTTTCAATCCCGTCCCACCAGGTCCCGTGCATCCGACCTCTATCCTCCCCCTCACCGAACTGCTGCATTTGATAAATCCTTTTTAATACAAGTTGTCTCCCTCTGCAACTCTATACCTTCAGATATTCAACACGCAAAATCGATATCCTCTTTCAAATCTCTCCTCTTGGAACACCTACTCCATTCCCAATCCGATTGATCACGAAATGCACTTAAAAACCTAAGCTGTAAAAACCTCAAAGTACACCCAGATACTCTGATTATTTTGTAATTCATCGATATTTCGTTCACTTAATTATTTTCTCTGTATATTTTATATTAACACGTATTTATAGCTTTTTATCATTTATAACTTTATTGTACTCCGCATCAACCTGTAAATATTAAATTGTATTTCATTGACACACCAAAATATCGATATATATTCTGTATTTGTGACTTGTTCTAAAGGGACACTAGTCCCAGAATAATAAAATTATTTTTATTCATTTATTCATTCATCATATACAATTGCTCTTGCTGTGGTCTCCTTCGTGTTTTTCTCTTGTTAAAATCTTTCATTTTATAAATTCAACACTGTCGAAATGTGCCCCCTCAAAACTTTTAATGGTGCAACTTGCGCCATGAAATCCCCTTCTAGCCATCTCTGGTAGTATACCAGGCTTTTAAGAATTGTGATAAGCTCAAAGTTCCTTACAGATCGATTCCTATACCATTAATTGATAGGTTGATTCAGACATAGAGAGTATATTTCAAGTTAAAACTGTAAGAATCTCGACGGAAAAAAAAGGTCGATATTATTAGCTTTTGCAATATTAAATAAAATATCAACATAGGTGCTAATGAAGCAATGAGATTCAGCTGTCCATAAACTTTTCCTTATTTAACTTTATTGCTCCTCCTTTTAAAAACAATGCAAGCAAACGAAGAATTAGAAAAATACACTTCCTGCATTCTCTTCCACGTTTCCACTTGTCTTATTGCTTGAAACTTATCATTGCAAAAATTCATAAACTCCATTAGCCACCTCAAAATTTTGATGGCGTAACTTGCTCCATGAAACCCCTTTCTGGACATCCATGTGCCTAATGCAGTACTCTATTCACCAGAAACTATTGGGTTGGATAGAAGAGTAGGATCCTTGATTTTTAATTCTCTCTTTGATTAAAAATGAAATATATTAACATCCAAAAAAGTTAAAAATATGTCCACAAAATTAGTTCATTTTTATTGAAAATGCCAAAATCTTTCTTTTTATATTACCTGAAATACCCAATGGATTTTAGGGATATTCTCCTTTCAAAAGCCTATAGAATAGATTTTTAATTTATCATGTACACATGGTGATATTTTAAAATTTTAAGAATATGTGACAACTATCAGTTGTCCTCTTAGAGGCTTTTGATTTTGATAGAATTAGCGTGGTCTTGGGTGTAACGTTTAAATCATTAAAACAGAGAATTCAATAGGTTTCCTGGAAGCATCTTGATGTCTCTATCAAAATATTTAAAATCTAACTTGTATCATCCGACCTGCCAACTTAATACCATTGTAGTATAGATATAATTTACATTTTTGGCTCTATTTTATTATAGAAGTATTAAGAATTCGAGAACCCAAATAGGAAATCATCATTTCTTCAGGAAATTCCCTTTCTATTGACCTTATAGCTGTAAAAGGGACAAATACTATTAAATTATATAATTATATATATTGTAATGTCAACATTACATGGCATATAAATAGTGGCGCGAAAGTGGCAACACCATGAACTACGGTGCGGATGATGGGGGAAGCAAGCCTCATGTAACTCAGACTGCGACGAGCCGCCAAGAGGGAAGGTGCTAGCGGCCAAGAGAGAAGATTATGAGCCGCCAAGAGAAAATGTGACAAGCTGTCAAGAGAGAAGATACTAGCCGGCAAGTTGAGAAAATAGAAAGAGCCACAAAGTTTAGACTGGGATAATCAAGGTTTTTGAATGTATAATTTCTTAATGTATGTATCTCGTTTCTTTATATGTATTTAGTAATTAGTGTACATTGTATTTATTAAATGTGAATGAGTGTTCAGTTGTCAGAACCCAACTTGAGATTTATGTTATATGTGTTAAAATAAATAGATATTCAAAAAGTAAACTCTTTGTTTGATTTATGTTGACAAAGGGAACGTTACAACATGGCGCCCAACGAGCGTGGCTTTTGAGAACATCACAATATATATATAATATAAAAGTGAATGTAGAAATCCAGAAAACCCTAAAAATGGTATACAAAATTTAAAAAAATAGTAGTGTACAGTTATTTAAGACAGATGTTTTGGCCCATTGTTATTATTACATTAAAATCTTACTTTCTCTAACTTTTTTTTTTACCTTTAATTTAATTTCATTATATCTGCTAATATTCTTATTTTAATCACACATTAAATAGTTATGAACTATTTATACCACTTTGAGTTAAACATTTATCAACATCTGGCCATCTTCTTTTATTTTATAAATTATTTTTATAAATAAATGCTAATATGTAGAAAAGGAAAATTAATGCTCAAAGAAGTAAGAAATATGTAAATACATAAAAAATATTTTTTTTTCATTTTATTTATGATTATATGTAATAATTATAATTATTATTTTTATAATTTATATTTATGTTATAATAATAATTATAATTTATACAATAATTATATTTAAAATTATAATTTATATAATTATATTTACAAAACAATAAATTAACATACTTAGAATAACATTCACTATAATTGATAACACCTAATTATTTTCCATTAAAATGATACACCCATACTCGATCAATTCCCGTTCCTATAATCCTTATAGGACTTTTAGAAGGCAATGGAAAACGGCAAGCAACAACTGTGGATTCTTTTAATTCATTATTGAATTTTTCAGTTAAATCTTCCATCTGAAAATATATCATGATAAAATTAACAATTGCCTTTAAAAAAAAAAAATGAAAATATATTTTAGTATTCTGGGACTGTTGTCCCTTTAGAACAAATTATAAGTACAGAATACATGTATGTGTGGTCATAAATAAAGTAAATATTTAAAATAATAGTTAATTAAAAGTAAAAATACAGAACAGAGAAAACAAGACAAGAAAAGCGTACATATATATAAGACAAACAATGAAAACTAAAATAACAGAAATATTTTCTTGGGGTACTTAGATAGCTCTCTTAGGTAAATTTCGTAATCAGGTGGATTGAGAAAGGACTAGGTGTTTAAAGACTAGAGGTTTGAAAGAGAAAGCTGATTGTGTGTGTCGCATATCAGCAGGGATAAAATTCCAGAGTGAGGCGGCTTGAATTGAAAATGATTTATAAATATAGGAATAAATCAAATCTCAATGATGAATATTTAATTATCCACGTTCGTTTTGGGGAGTGCCCATTTCAAAAGGTTCTAAATTTCTGTACTTTCCGATTAGAACTCTTTAAGATTATCTGTTGGGAAAGGTTTCACTGTATATGTAAACAATATTATGTGATAGAGAAAAATAAAAATAAAATTAAAAGTTGAACATTTAAATATAAATATGTTCTTAATTTAGAATTTACTCTATCTATGATCACATCAATTATTTAGAATATGTCGGTATCTGGACTGGGGCATTGATTAGTCAGAATTATTGACACTATACTGTACAACCGAAAGATAATATTCTATGACAAATCTAAGAGGTTATTTTTATTTTTAATTGTAAACTCTACTTTTTTTTTATGTTGACAAGATTGGAAATTATTTCATCTTAATTTAAAGGAAAATGAGAGTTTGAAAATTTGAATTTTTAAAGCTTTTATCATTATGAACAATTTACAAATTTTGTCCTCATAACTGATTTTACACAAAATAAGTCAAAATGTAATTAGAACCTTGTCACAGACAAAATGAGTAAAAATGAAAGTGACAGGTGTAACTGGTAATACAACCTTTTTTTAAACATATAAAAAATTAAATAATTTTCCTTTCTGACCACTACTAGTTAAGGAAACATTTGTAATCGAGTAATATTTTCAATAAGCCGATTTCTTTGGATCTTTTATTTTATTGTTCCCCGACTCCAAAATAAGCATTTTTGGCCATTAGCCTGAACATGCCCTGAATATCTCTCTGGAACAGGTACATTCAGTTGCACTTTTTTTTTTTTATTCTGGCCTTCAATGCCTGTGAACTTAATTAAGCACAAGTGTGTTATAGCACAAGTAAAATTTTTATTCACAAGAAAAGGTTTATTATTGTCTGTTGTGTCAATAGAGCTCTAACGTTATAGGAACAACTTTCCTAAAGTCTCCTCATTGAAGCTCTTTAAACTTTTTGAATATAGTACGTAGGAACAAAGGAAACTATTTCCACATTCTGAGGGTGAAAAAAAAAAAAACACTTTCCCAGATTAGATCATTTTAAATTGAAAGAGTTAGTTCCTCATATATGTAAGATGAAGGAAAGTCTGAAACACCAGTAATCTCATTTTAACCAAAATTTAGTAACAACCTTGTCAAACCAATGTGAGATGGTAAATTTTTATCAGTTTTTCAAGTACAGTTTTATTTTTATACATTTATTAATCAAAATTTTATCTTCTAATCCTCCAATACACACTTAATAATAAGAAAGTAGTTGCAACAAAAATGAATTCTCAATTCTACAGAATAATATATACACAGATTAATGTAAGTGAGACGTTTTAAGAAAACTTTAATATCAATACATAAATAAATAATTCAAAATGCATACCATTTCTTTAACACCAAATATAACTATATTTTCATAAGGTTGAAGTTGGAACTTCCACAAGTCTTGACAATAAAATTTAGTATCTTTAGATAATCCAAGTCTCAAAGAATTAAATTTAGAATAAAATACCAACCAAGGGTTGAGCTCTACTCCAACAGATTTGAAACCATGTTTCGCTGCTTCAATAACCTAAAATATATTATTGGTACAGATTAATAGTATTGAGTAGCAGCAATTGACAAAAATATAAATAAAATATATTTATTGCCAACATATTTGATTTTTTAATTTTCCACTAACAAAAATGTACACAAACAAAAAAAAAAATGCACACTTTCACTTACCACCTAATGTGAGTAAAAATGTTTAAAAGTAAATACTAAAAATGACAAATATATTAATTTAAAACAATTAATTACCATATACTTTCCCTATCAGTCTAGTCTATTACATTCATACATTTTTTGTCACTATCTATTCCTTCTACGACTATATTTTGATTCTTTATTTAATTAAAAGAGTAATATGAAGCTACAAAATTTTTTTAGTCCTACAAGTGATAAAGGAGGCTGAAAAATATATTTATAGTTCATGGTAGGTATTTTTACTTGTTTACATATAGTTATGTATTCAAGTTATAGTTCTCTGTTATCTATATATTAAATGTTAATTAATACTAGCCATGAAAATTGTACACAGTCGGAGCATCAACATTCCTCAATTATGGTAAAGCATATTATGCACACATTTAAGCATGGAATGTTCCTGGTTGAACGGGACAAGGAACCACTCCTAACTAGGACTAAAAAAAAATTTGTAGCTTCATATTACTCTTTTAATTAAATAAAGAATCAAAATATAGTCGTAGAAGAAATAGATAGTGACAACAAATGTATGAATGTAATAGACTAGACTGATAGGGGAAGTATATGGTAATTAATTGTTTTAAATTAATATATTTGTCATTTCCACTCCAGCAGTGGAACATTTTAATCCTTCCGCCAAGTCTGAGTGCACACGGGTGTGTTCAGAGTAAGTAGGCGAAAGTAAAAATAGATTATTTAAATTAATAATATAAATCACTGTAGTAAATAATGATTAGTGAAAAGAAGCTAGAGGGAAACCATCATAATTCCAATTTTTGTTATTATGGTTACATTTTCATGATTATATTAAGGCCATATTTTCTGGGATTAACGTAATGTTATTTAGCTAAATAGGTAATATAAAGAGAACTGCTTCAATCATATACAACAAGAATCTATCTTATATTTATTTTGATAGGTAGAATAATACAATGATAACATTAATAAAAATTATAATCATAGAAAAAATACTGAACTTTTAATTCCTAATGAGTTTAAAAATATTTTAAATGTTGGAAACGGATTATTACTCACTATTCTTCCATCTCCACTACCAATATCCACCAAACTTCCACTCTTTCCGCTAAGGGCAAGTAAAACATTTTCGATCTGTTTGGATGTAGCAGGGACATATGGTAAACAAACTTTTCTTAAAGCAGGTAATATAAAAGGAAAACAAAGTATTGAACTCAAAACTGCTGCACCACCTACAAATGAAAATACTTCTAGTGCAACCACATTTTCTATCATAGTTTTATAATTGAATAAACTATTAACCACCAGATCTTATAGCAAATAAAAATTTAACCACATTTACCTGAAATCGTAGCTAAGACTAAACCAGTTTTATTATTATTTTGTTTTAAAATTTCTTTTTCACCTTCCAAAAATTTTAAATCCATGAAAGGCTGTTAAATACCACCAAAGAGCTTAAATTCATACCAACTTTGAAATATAAAGTACTTATGTAAATATGATTCAGAACTCCAAAAAATCTATTTGATTTTGTACTCGATTGTTGAGAAATATAATAATGTTTTCTATATCTCCTCCATTTAATTTTATTCCATCTGGATTTGGTCAATTGAAAAATATATTTGTCTAAAAGTATCAATAGGAGTTTGACCAGTAATTAAAAATATTTACGATTTTTAGATGATTGTGCATAATTCTCAAAATAAGAACAACTACAGAATGGCAAAAAATATAAACATACCGCTGACCTTTTCATGAACTAATTTTAATTATCAAGATAGAGGAAAACTTTTGGGCTTGCTACTAAAAGTTACTATAATATAGAAGAAATCGAGATGCACTTTTAGGAGTTTTAATATCGTAATAAAGTCTCAACTGAAAAAGTTGAGTTTTATCTCCTTGCTGAACCCATCCCCATGAAGAAAACCTGCATAGTGGGGTCAAAACGTTGGCTTGAAATAAAATAGTTTTTCCACTATTTTAGTTTCTTTATGACCGCCATCCCGGACCATCTCCTTCCTCTTAAATATACAAAGGTCAACCATTAAGTATTCAACATTTTTTATGTTTGAGAGTTATGCCCAGGGCCTGATCGAGAAGTGGATCACAACCTCAGGTTGAAGAATTTCCAGTAAAATTTAATTTTCAGGTTAAATCTAAAATTTTTTTTTATACTGTTTGATTTTTCTGAACTTTGGTCTGTTAATTAAAAACTTGGTCTTCAGGCAACGAAAAACAACCAATTTGAAAAAATAAGTGATTAAGTTCTTATTGTTATTGGAGTCGCCTCCGATGGACGAGGGATGAGGGGATGGGAGTACAGATAGCGGTTTAAAGATACCTTTAATGCTTTCCCTTAATTAATTTTGGAGCCAATAGCATTAGCAAAAGATAGTTCTTATTCAAAATTAAAGTACACTACATTAACTTTAACAACGATTTTTTTAGTTAAGTAAGTAGATAGTTAAAGTGAAAGAGAGGAAAGTGTTGCATATTGAATTCGCTTAAGTAAACGTGTTAAATTTAATCAATTAACAAATCTTTCCGCCTGAAAATTTGGAAAAACGATAAATCTTTTAGGTAGGGTAAATCTTAACATTCAATAATACTGAAATTTCATTCCTCCCCTCAAAGTTCAAATAATCCATTTCTTTTTTTTTCTTTTTATAGCTGTGGATACCTTTCTCAGCTGTTTACAGTAAATCCGTGGGATCAGCATCAAAATTAAACTGATTTAAGATGACTACGATGAAGAAGAACAGAAAAATACTGAAGAATATGATTTCTAGTTACCAAATCTTATTGATAAAAATATTTATAGATCCATTAGAAAATAGGCAATTTTTATACAATTAAACAAGAAAATGAATAAAAATATCCAAAAATTACACTAAAATGGATATATTGATACATTTACAAATACAGATTACTGATATTTTTTTACCGTTTATTCCCTACACCGTTCTTTCTGGGGTACGAGGAAGATTGTTCTAGACGTCCAACCAACTACAATCAGAGTTGGATGGTCGTGATCTGTTCCGTGTTATGTCCATGAAATAAAATTTAACCTGCTTGGGCCGGTAAGTCTAGACACTGCTAGACTTAAGAATGATAATGTAGTCAACGCATTAACATCCTCGAGCACTACAGCTTCTATATTACTACTAGCTAACTAGGATATGTGACGTTATAAAAAAACAATCTAAATAACAACCTCCATCTAATAATTAATAATATACTAATACTAATAATTTGGAATTACAAAAAGTTGAGAAATTTATGAACCTATTTCAAACTAATGTTAAAATATTTATTCAAAGAGTTAAGAAAGGCGGTGACTGCTTTGACTGATGATTACGCAATTCTCAATAACAAAATGTCTAATCATCATCGTAGGGATAGAAATCGATATCTTTTCGAATCTCTAAGACCGACTGCTTCTCTGACGTGTAGTGGCATTAAAATGAAATTACAAGTTAATTCTTCAAAATTTAACAGCAGTTGTAATTGTTGATTCTTTACTGATGACAGCTCTTTTGAATTTTTAAATCGAAAGCTTGCTTTCTGGAATGAGTCGGGGTTAGTAAACTACTTATGTATTTGTTTTGTTTGCTCTAAAATTGATGTTACATTTGTTTCCTCAGTATTTTATGAGTCACTCACTTGTCAACTTTTTATTTACGCAAAATTTAAATTATTTTGTTATGTTAAAGTGATAAGAAGTGTTAACTGTTAGTAGAGTGTTTGATGACCTTATATGTTTTTTCATTCATAGAAGTTTATTGTTTCTGGATTATTTAGACCAAATTTTAGAAACAGGAGTTACTGATTTGGTAAGTGGGTTGTTGTTTTATCATTATTTTAATAGTTTATTTTATAATTGAAGTATTTAGATTAGGAGTCAATTTCTAGGATATATTCTGGACAAATTTCTTTAATTCTGCTTTAGCCCATATAGGAACAATGTAACACTTTTTTAATTTTACTACTAATATTCTGGTTTATACAAGATTCTTGCTTGCTTGGTTTGTATTACTTACATTTTAACTTTTGTTAATCACATTTTTCCTTGTTTTCTTCTATTTTTTGCATTGTATGATGAAGAAGTACCTTTTTTTGTTATTATTTCCTATCTTGCCATTATTCGAAGGTGTTATTATTATCATTATAACCTGTATAAAGAATTCTATCCTTTAGTTTCAATCTTTCCTCTCTCAACATACCCTAGCAGTCGCTATTCCTAATCAACTTTTTTCTTTCTATTGAAATGTTATGTTTTGGGGGGAGGGGTGAAATTTGTTATGGATGCCACCAGATAATTATTGATGATAATTATATTAAGTTAAAATATAATTTACTAAAAAACTTATTAATTTGAGATATGTTCAGTGAAGAATAATACGCAAATTATTTGAAAATCTTGATGCACTACTTTACTCTGTCCTCAGCAGTGGCCCAAGGCTCTAGCATATCTCCTCTTCTTTTTAGTTCCTGTATCAATGACATTCATAAATCAATCCTTTAATGTTCCCATCACCTCTATGCCAATGATTTCCAAATTTACGTTTCCTTCTCTTCCTGTGAGTTGCAAGATGCATTTGCCAAAATTCACGTAAACAAATCGGATCAGTGCCTTGGCAACCTTAAATGGATTAAGGCTAAACGCTTCCAAAACTCAAGCTATTGTCATTGGTTCCAAACCCCATCTCAGATCCAATACCGATATTCCTATTCTGTATCTAAATGACCATCCCATTACCTTCAGCTCCTCAGTTAAAAAGTTGCCATTTTCATTGACCAAAACCTCTCCTGGAATCTCCATATTGCCCACATCTCCCGAAAATCAATTGGTACCCTGAAAGTATTCCATCGCTTCCGCTATCTCCTACCTATGCCCACACGTAGACTCCTAGTATCTTTCCTCACCTGGACTATGGCTGCGTGGTGCATAGTTGCTTCTCGCCAGAACTCGGAGACAAGCTGAAAAGAATTATGTATGGCTTTGTAAGATTTGTCAATGGTACCCTGAGACGTTTCCGTCTTTCTCACTACTATGCTGAGTTAGGGTGGCTCTTCCCCTCCTTTCAGAGACTAGGCACATGATTGTCAATAACCATTGCCTATCCTACACATAAGCGGTCTCCTCCAATTCAAGCTTTCCATCCACTCCCTCTCCACAAGATTTCATCTGTCTGACCTTTATACCCCTTTCCATATATCTGCCTCATTTAAAAACTCCTTTATTGTGCATTGCAAAGCATTTTGGAATTCCGCCATGCTCCATCCTTTCCGTATCCACATTTAAAATCCTCTTATTCCAATTTCTCTTCACAATTCAATCAGACACTGGCTAAGTATTGATCATGTAACACTAGGTTTTAATTTTCTTTACATTTCTTTCTCTCATGAATTTGGAAAAGATTTTCTATCACAAAGCATTGTGGGTAGGTTTAGTTTGTTTCTATTTTTAATTTTCCTATTCATAAGATTATATCTCTTTGAAATGTATTACATTTTTTCTGGAATACATAATAAGTTATATAAATTATAAAATAATATATTGCTCAGATGTGCTTTTAAGATAACAGACTTAGAGACAACAAAGTCAGGGATTTCGGGAAACATAATACCTTATGTTTATTATAATACCTTATGTAACATAATCCCATAAGGTATTATGCTACCCATAATACCTTATGGGATACAATTCCATGGATAAATACAATATTCAAGTTAACATGTATACAATAACTAAGTTATTTCTTATCGCTAACAAATTAGAACTATTGGTTTGAAATGAAATGATAATAAATAAGAGAGAAGAGATGGCATTTTAATAATTTAAGTAAAGGTATACAATAAATCTTAAAATGACTGCGTCCTGACTATTTATCACCATGACATCACTATGATATGTATAATAGTCAGCTAACTTCCTTCAATAATATATTAATTTTTAATAACATTTTTATTATTTACATATTTTTTCTTTCAGTAACTTAATAAATTTCTGAAAGCTAAATTTATATATTTAAAAGTTGTGTAACATTATATTTATGATCAGTCTAAAGGTAAACCAGGAATGTGCAAATTCCTAATTTTGAGAAACCAGAGGTGGACTAACACTTTTTCACATTCCTGGTTTTGCCTTTAGACCATCAATATTATTTGAAAAATATTAATATAGTTCTAGAACAGTTACAGTATTATTATTAATTTTAATAAAAATTAAAATACCTTATTTTTACAATTAAACCATCTTATCATTCTCATTTGTCTTTTTCAAACCTATTTTGTTTTAGAAACAATGAGGAGAGCTCATGGGAATTATTACCAACCGGTCCCTACATTCGATGGACCTAGCGGTTCACTCGAAGAGGAAAATGACCAGATGACAAATAAACTGAAAGATAAAATAACTGCTTTAAAGCACTTGTCAATCGATATTGGTGCAGAAGTAAAGTACCAGGATAAGATGCTACATGGGATGTCAGAAGACTTCGACCGTACCGGAGGCTTTCTAGGAAATACTATGAATAGAGTATTACGCCTCACCAAAGGAAGTCACAATTATTATATTTTGTACCTTTTTATATTTTCTATTGTTGTTTTTTTTGTACTGTACATAATATTAAAATTTAGATAAAATTGTTTTGTTTTTATGAATTGTTTAACTGTTGGACTAAATTTTTATCGAAGTTGATGAATGTTTAATGAATTATTCGGCCACATTAGGAAATCATTAATTAATTTTATTTTATTAATTAATCTCTTAATGAAGAGGGTTGTTTGTAGAATTATTTCAATTAGTATGAGATATTTGATTTGGAATTAGTTTTAAAGTCTTTTTCAAAATTTATATTAAAAAAATATTTTATTTTAAATAGTATAAATATTATTTTCTCCTCTGTGTAATTTTCTTTGAACTTAGAAGTGTAAACAAAACACCAAAACTAAAATTATTAAGTACATTCAAATTATAATTATTTTCATATCAAAGTGAATTTGGGACCCTCATGTATGTATTATTGTTAACTTCTGTATTTGAATTTTTTGTTATATATATTTAAATTTATTATTTATTGTCAAAGAAATATTTTGGAAAGTTTTATCAAAATACAAAGAAGTTTATGTCTCTTTAATTTATAAAATATAACCCACTTCCTGAAAAATCAATTATAATTGAGGATTATACTTGCTAATAAATGTACAGTATGATGCATATATAGTGAATAAGAAATCACGGCTTGGTTATTGTGATGGTAATTCAAGATAATATTTTAGGAGTTATCAGAGGCTAGTATAAATAAAATAGAATTTTGTTTGTCCTTCTTATTGAGGAGACATCTTCAGTCAATCTGGAGTATATAAAAAAAAATTAAGTACAATTTTTTAATTATGAAATAAAAGTTGCAATAAAATGCCAATCTCAGAAGCCTTGAGGGCCTTATAAATTTGGTACAACTGTAATTTTCCTCAACCTATATTGGAGAGTGCCATCCTTCACAGTGCCAAACATTCTTACTCATTCTATTCACAAAGTCTGTTATTTATTTAATTTTTTGTTTTGGTGATATATTAAAAATTAAAAAATGCCAAGTACCATTACATATAATGAAATACATAACCCTTTTCTTTAATATCATATTTTAATAAGACATTTCCTGTTTGTTACACTCTTAATTCCATTAGATTTTCATCTCAAGAAGACTGCAATAAAAAAATTCTCTTTTGTATGTAACGTCCTTTTAGATTAAATAATTTAGTTTTGATGATAGTGTAAATATCAAAACTAATCAACTATGTGAAAAAAATACTTAATTTTTTTTTCTCTTTTGCTGCATGTTTAATGGAGTTCTATTGTATTATTTAAAAAAAAAAAAAATACAAAATTAAATCGTTTTCTATTACACCACAGAATTATGTGATGAATAACCATTACAGAGATATCCATATCAAAGACTTAAGCAAGGACAATGAAATTTTTAATATAATTATGATCCATTCCTCATTATTTTTAAGGTCTAGGTGTAATACCACTTCAACAGTTTTTATGGAAAATAAGTTAGCAGAGTGAAATACTTTAGAGATTGCTGACACTACTTGTATTATGGCATTGCACCATTAAAGTTAAAGCAATAAAGTTTTAAATCTAAAATTAGTTTTCATCAGAAAGAAGTTTTGTGTTGTAAAGTGGTGGTTAAGGCTTTTTATTTTGTTTCGCCTGTTGACTTCGACTTTTTATGCATGAGTCTACCTTAGCAGCTTGTGGCTGTTATAGGCGACAGTAGTGATCGTTTGGTTTTTTCTTCTTCCAGGGAGTTTGTGGTTTACTAAACACACACAAGCACATTTTACTCTCTTTATCAGGAACTTTCCTGAAGGATGGTTGGCCATCTTTTGCTTCAATCTTTCACTCAGCTTTTTTATAGGATAAGGGATTACACAACCTCCAACCTGGAGATATGTTGTAAGATACAATGGTCGCACACCTCCCTTTGAATCTCAGGGTGGGGATATTACTGTCTCCGTGTGGGAATTGAACCCGTCGTACTGGTCCAAGTAAAGTAGGACCTGCACTTATTAATGTAATTTTATGATTAATTATATATATCTTTTGTGTTATTAATTCCTGTAGATAGGTTTTGAACACTTGATATAAATGTTTTGCAGGCATCTTAAATCGCTCGACCACCACAGCCCATTTTTATTATTCCTGCAGTATGTACCATCCTAATTTTTATGACCACCCTTAATAAAATGTGGCAGTACGGTGAACATCACTCTTTGACACAAGGCCTTCAGTACTTTTTCACCACTGCTAAAGAAGTCTTGAGATAGTTTGTTGTTTAAATTTAAGTGTGTTTCTTGAAATCAGAACATTACTCACTCAAACTCGTAATTTTTATGAACATTTGTGAAATCATTACTCAAAATTATGAAACAACTGGATGACACTAGTGATATTGAAGACTGGTAGGGAATTGGCTGAAAAATTATTTTCTTGATGACATAGTTTTCACTGAAAGTGAAGAGGAACACTGAAATTCCAGAAGATTCAGTTTTTGACGAAATTAACATTGAAATTTCTTGTTCTACAAAACATGAAAAACAATTCCCTCGAAATACCTGTTAGTCCAGAACAAAAACTACTGGTGGATAAAAATAAATATATTGTATCGAAAAAATAGTAGAGGTAAAAATGGGCATCGTTGGTCTTCTGCATCTCCGATAAATAAAGAGGGCTTGGACAACAGAACGTAATATTGATTATCAAATTCAAATCCCATCAGGGGAAGCTGAAAACGCTTCTAGTCCAATTGAGACATTTCATTATTTGGATTCTAATTGGTGGATTAAATTTCCCAATTTCTGTATTTTTTTTTTTTTTTTAATGTATGATTTGTAAATATTTAACAAATAAAATCGTATTCTATTCTACTTAATAAGTGATAGTTACAGAGTTGAAATAATAATTGAATTTGTAAATAAATATATTCTATAAAATCCTTTCTTTATGACTGCTTGTGGCTCACCCTTATTTAAAATTTTAGTAAATAAAAAACTTCTGAATGAATTTTCATATTTTAAAAATTAAGGTAAATAAAAAATGAATTAGTTAATGTTTAAAGCAGTAACAGTCAAAATAAAAGTTTTTCGTTTATCAGTATACTACAAAAGTTGAAAATTATGGCAGCCAAATTGAATGAGTTAATTGGTATTATACTTTATATTAGTTACAAAATGTTTGATCAATGTTGCTGGCTATTGCCCAATAAGTCTCCCTTTTATTTAAAATCTAAATAATAGATTTTCTGTATAAGGAGATTAATTTTTTAAGTTTGCAAAAAGTGGAGAAAAAAATCACTTAAAATTGATTGAAAAATCTGTAATTAAAATTATCTATAAATTATACATTTGTAATTTAATAGTGTACAATCATAAAACATATCATTAAGAAAATATATGTTTGTACAGAAACAATTTATTTTAAATATATCTTATTTCAACATAAATCTTTCGCATGAATAACTGTGACATAAATTTAAGAAAGAAACTGAAATTTCTCGATATAAAAATAGTACTTTTACAATTTAAAAATGTTTGAATTTATTTACAGTTTCTAATCTATACTAAAAACCAAGTACAATTAACAAGTTGTGTTTATGTTTGATCAAAGGAGAAAAAAAAAACAAACATCAAAAACAACTAATTACAATCGAAGTACTAATTTTAATTCATATCACAATATTTATCACCTACTAATAATATCTTTTCAAGACATTAATAATCAATCTTTATTACAGTAACAATAATGGATTTATTTATACAATATACAACAAAAAGGCCCACTTTGATAATGATTACGTCTCTCTTAAGGGATATCAGTGTTAATTCCTCCTAGTTAATCGGTTGATTAAGAAATAAGAAATCAATGGCCAGATGAGGATGAAGATAATAGCTTCTTTGGTGAGACCACCAAAACTGTTCGTTCGTTTCTGAAACAGATTTTCTAAATTAGTTATAATTATAAGGTGTAAATTTGATGTCAATATAAAATTGAATAATTGTGTGTAAAACCAGATATGTTAAACTCATTTAATCTCAAAGATGAGATTAATTGTAGAACTAAGTCAACTATTGATCAGATGCAACAGCTTAAAAAATAAGTTTTTTTAAAAAGAAAATGAAGAATAATATGTATGGCTACTTAGTGATACATTATAACTTTCAAAAAAGCATTTTAATATTTTGAAATCATTTATACCATATGAAACGTTATACCACTGGTGAGACCTCGTGTTTTAAGGTGAGCCCGATATATCTGAGAAAATGAATTTTGTGACATTTATCACCTAGAGAGTAATCAGTTTTGAGAATCGAAAACATTTTTGTATTTCGATATGCTCTACCTCAGTCATATGTAATATACAAAAATTTGGAAGATTTTAAATTTAGTTTTTTGTCTGTAATGTAAAGCAATCTTTTTGCGGAAATGAGATATGATTTCTTCGCCACTGATATGTATACTGTAATATACACTTGTCTCGTAAGTCTGTAAAAATAGTTTAGTAAATTTTAAGCAAGCTAACCTACTTAAATAGCAAGCTAATTTAGTTCTGTTAATGCCAAGGGATTTTTGAATTTGAAAAATAGTTTCACTAGTTGAGGAAAACGAAAATGGCTTCTTTTGAGGATGAAACCCATAATAGTATTACCATGTTTAACAGAAGATTATTGCAAGGTGTTTTAAATACAAATTACTTGCAGTGCCATTTCTGTTGTTATAAAAGTTAACTTGCCAGTTTATATTGTCTATAATTTCAAACGAAAACAGTGTTGTGTGTCAATAGTTTTAGTTTTTCTGAGAGTTTGGTCTGATTGTCAGTAATCCATCAGAATGCTCTGCGATAAAATCATTGATTCCATTTTAATATATCAAAAGTTTTAAATTTCATTTTCTTGAATAACTTTTATTTGTTTTTGGAGGTTTCACTAAAAAATTGAAGTGAACTTGCAGGATTATTATCATAAAAGATGGAGACATTGCAATTTATCAATTCTAAAAGTGCATGTTGAACTGATTTGTCATGATCGCTTCCTCTTGTGAGTTTTTTTTGTTTATTTGAGATTTATTATGTTTGGTCTCTATTTATGTGATTTGTTCTTTACTCCTGATGATCCATGTTGACTTGGTTAGTGCATTTATATAATTTGAGAGATTGAAGGCTTTGTTTTAGAATCTTCCAATCATATTATTTAAATACTTAATGAACATCTTCAATTTATGATTTTAGCTGAAAGATAGCATAGAAAAAAAGATATGTAAAAATAACCAACCTTAGAAAAATGAAATTCGAGGGCCTGTATCCTACTATTAGTAATAGCCATGTCTCTACGTAGATTTTCGACTGCTTTGTGCAGTGTGTCACTAATGGAATCTAGAAAACAAAAATTTTTATAAACAAATATATAAACATTAAACAACAAACGTGTGAAAGCTTATAACATGGTTTAAGAAGGAGTTATTTAATTTGCGACATTACAGCATTTTTGGTAACATTATTATAGTGCTCATTTTAGGATTAACTGCTAAAACATTGCTGGGGAGACCACAAAGGATTTTATCCAGAGAACATATTTCCCTACTGTTCGGACATTTTTGGAAGAAAAGCAGAGTCTTCCAAAATATTATGTTTTGCAACTCCTTTACAGGACATGGTACCTTTTGAGCCAAGCTTCATGGGTCATAAAAAGTATATAGATCCATTGCGAGATGGCTGAGTATGTCATTTTGAATTACACCGCCGTCGAGGCACCTGGGGGCTAAACTACTAACAGAAACAACTTATGTTCTCACAATAAATGAGTTCCCTTAATGACAGAACAAACTACCTACATAAGACAAACAAATTGTAGGACTGAAGCACTTTAACCTCGAAAGAAGAAGGTCTTGAGGACATAAAATGATGCCGGAAAGACATCAACCTAAGATCATGAAGTTATAGTGGGCAACATATGAATTCTCTCTGGTTCTAATATGTTGCCGACACTTGTATTGTCAGAACGTAAGGTAGAGAGGAAATGAAAATTAAATAAAGTTATTGCTGGGGAGGAACTGGATCAAAAAGGTACACTTCAATTTTCATATATTCCATATTTAGCTAAAAATTGGGAACAATGGTGCTTCTGGAAGGAATGCTTAGGATTGGAGGTATGGCACGACATATAACCGCTGTAAAACATGATGATATTAAACATCTCAAAGCCCTACCTTTATTAACATGCTTTAATAAAAGCTAATAAAATAAATTTTAAACTAAAAATTTCTATTCTAAGGTGACCAGATCAGAGAAAAACAGAAAGATATTTATCGGATGGAAATTTTGAAGCTGAAAACACTATTATAAGCTAAAATGTATGAGATAAACAAAGATATGAGCTAAGCAAATTTCTATTACAAAAAATTGTGACTTTTTGCATTTTTATTGTTATAACCTAATCTTCAGCAACAAATAAAAATTAAAAATTATGCCAATAATTATAATTTAAAAAAATAATCCACCTACCCGCACTTGTACGCCTTCTATTTTCAAGGTAGCCATTAGGCAGTTTAACTTCTTGTTGAGGAATGTTTACATTACCGTTCATCTTTATACTCTTTTTCCATACTTCTTTGTTTCTTGGTTCAGGTTCAGTTTGCTGAAATTGAACAAAGTAGACCATTTTCAGTATATTATCATTAACACCATAATTAATAATTTTAATAAAAAGTAACATGAGTTACTTGAACTTATAATTCATTAAAGGTTATAATGATTAAATAATTGTTAAAGAATAACTGCTATCAACGCTTTAATATTTTAATAAAAGAATCTGTGGCATTACGTAAAATTAAATTATTTTCACATACTAGTTCTCCAGATAAACTAAATCATAAACATCTCAGCTTAAATATATTTCGGCAAACAGTAAATCTATCATAACACATTTGACTAGGCATTATAATCTACGATTGTAGATGAATCATAGGTTTTTTCTTTATTAATTAACATTATTGGAAATTGATATAAAAATTTAATACCAGTGCGATAAACTCCTACAGAGGAGATAGTATACTTGTACCGAAAAATGTTTTCAAAAGTTTTTTAAATATACTGAAAACTATTTTGAAGTTTCTATAAACCAGAGGAAACTTATGAATGACTACTTAACAAGCAACTCATCTTTTATTAACTTACATCCATCGAATCAAGAAAATCGTCGTCCTCTTCTTCTTGCTCGACAGGCGCCGGGGAAGAGATTCTTCCACGAACTGGGGATGTATCTCGAGATCCTAAATCGACAAAGAGTGAATAAAGTCAGAGAAATAATTAAAAATATTTGACCTTATAATATTTATTATAATAAATATCATATGTTCTAACCACAATAGAGCAAAATAATACTAAAATTCATAGTTAAAGTAACCTAAAATAATTTACATTTTGAAAAAAAAAAAAAAAACTACTTTGTTCTTCAATAATTATATTCAACATATTATAAATAATAATAAAAATAAATCAATGAAATAATTTTTAGTACTTTATAAATGTTGATCCACTTTGATCTCAATATAGATGGAATACTGAGAATGGGCAAGTGTTCTTACGATATCATATGGCCTCAGGTATCGCCCTTTCATTAGATTGTGATTTATAACTACCACAAACTCCAACTGGTCCTTTTCAGTTAAAATAAAGACATTTTACAGCACTTTCTCTAAATAGTACGGAACCCAGGACCTTTCATGGGTTGTAGTAGTACAGGTTTTCACAGCTAAATTATATAGCTACTTTCCACAGTGTGATCATGTGATCTTGTACTCACGTATCAATGTGGACTGACACTTCTAAAGTAGTGGCTAATTTTCTTATATAAAAACAGTCATTTTTTAAGATTTTTATTGTTGCCAACGTTACAACTCAAGCTTGTGGGTCATCATCAGGGCATGTTATCAGCACTGAAGAAGTTTAAGTGCTTGATGTTAATTTTTTCTTATAAAATTGTAAAAATGGAAAATTTACAATTTTCTGTAGTGTGATATATTTGTTCTTTAATAAACAATATAATTAGTTTTTAAAAAATTACTCAGACCTGCATACTGTAAAGGAGGGAAATGTTTAGAATTTTTATCTTCTTTGTAATGAACTATTGTATCTACTCAAAATTGTATCTTAATGTGACGCCATGTTAGAGAGGCAAAAAGAGATCAAGTTTGGTTGAATATATGGATCAAAATATCTCACAAACTAGAAATCAGACATGCATTCTATAAGTGAGGTAAATGTTCAGCATTTTATCCTCTTTGTAATGAGCTATTATTCAAAATTGTATCTTAACGCGATGCCGTGTTACAGATGTGAAAAAGGAAGAAAGGATAGCGTCACTGGTGTGCTTAAAGTAGAAAAGAGCCAAAAAAACTAATTAATATTACCTAGTGGTGTATTAGCAAGAGGAGATCCAGGTAGCGACCTGACCTTTTCCAGTGCTGGTCCTATGCACAACTCTAAGTCTTCTACTGGAACGTGATTCGTAAAACTGTCCACACTAGTCAGAAAATCAGCAACATTGTCTGTAAATGCCATCGTTTCGACAATCTGTAACAAATACTAAATTATATTAACTTATTTATCAATGAAATATTTAAAATATTAGAAATATAGTTTAAATCTAGGAGATGATTTGAGATGCTGAAAGAAATAACATTTTGCTGTTTGCTGCGCTCAACACTAAAAAGCAACCTTAACAGACTACCTGGAGGGGTAGCAGTGGAATGTTTTAGGCTAGTCACTGGAAATGAACAATTACGACAACATTTAAACAAAATAAGAGTAGCTAGGTCATCATAGAGCGCCCTATTATGCAATGAAGAAGAAATGGCCGCTGATTGTATACTTAAATATCAGCAATGTTACCTACGATATCTGACGAGAGCCAAGTTAATATGGTAGCTGTAAGGAATAAAATTACATAAATGGCATAGGAAAAAAAAATCTAATATAAAAGGTCTTCTTCATAGCTAAGAAAATAATAACGAAACATATTGTAGATAAGATGTGAATAAGTATCAATCAACTGTAACAGGTATAGAAGATAAGCGAAGAAAAATAAAATAAAAAAGGAAATAAAACAACTTCAATTTTGTTTCGTAAGTTCTTATAATATTTTTCTTTAGAACTAACTTCCTCTTTTATTTTTTACTCCTCAACTCTTATTCCAGTTATAGATAATTGGTACAGGTTCCTTATTCTTACTTACCAGTACTTTAGAAGTTAATAAAAAAATCTTAATTTTTAACTCCAACTTGTAAACAAAACATGAATAACAGTTGTATAACCTACTTCAGTATCATTGTAATGATGTCAAAACCTCTCAACCCCAGTGTTGATGTAGAGTTTACAAGAATAAAAAGTTGAAAAAGAAATACATAATGTTCATAATAATACATATTTATTCAAAAAAATATTTTATCTCTCCATATTTTTATAATTCTATAGAAAATTGTATACTTACTACATCACTTTTAGATTTTATAGATTACCTGTTTCAATTTAAATGTTCGGCTTAATTAGATTCTAACTTTAGGTCATTCTCAAATAAAAAATATATAACGGTAAGAAGTGTTTAAGCAGTCTTTTAAAGTGTCAAAAATATAGCCATAGTTCTTAATAAGACAGAGCTTGTGGACATGTAATGAACCATGACCTGATTGGACATATAACATTAATGATTTTTTAAAAATTAATTACTGTTTCTCAATGAAAAGTGCTAACTAAAAAAATATTTAAATTAAATAATTCCCAATAGCAGTATTGTAAACCAGACAATATTTTCTTTAAAAAACAATTGAATTTATCTTTGTTAAAGACACTGTCATTATTTAAAGTTGTTAACGATATACATCTAATTATTTTAAATGGTAAAAAAAACTCTACTGTAAATTTCACATACTATTTATTCTTGGCACCGAGTGACAGATTCTGTTATCTGATGGAAAGAAATTGTAATAAAAACCTAAAACAATACAATTTGAAAATTGTACCCCTACAACCCATAAAGGGTCTTGGGTTCAGTGCTTTAAATGGAATTTCTGTTTCAAGGCCAACAGTTGAACAAGGAAATGATCAGGTCAGAATTATGCTGAACCACTAGGTTTTCCCCCTTACTTAACTATATAATTAAGAATATCTATGTTACAGAACCTAAGTGTGTCCCTGTGTCTTCTGATTCCAGAGAGATCCACGGTCGATGTAACAGAATAAATAATTACCTGCCACAGCTGGACTCGAAATAGGTACTATTAGCATAGGAAGTCAGTGCCTTACCCACTGAGCTACCCTGCTCTTTATAAAATTTGAAAGGTGCTTTTAATTAAATTCTATTGTTTTGTGGTAAAATCATGGATTGTTTACGGAAACTCTGGTTAACAAAAAAATATTGGACTATTATAAAATATGGTAAAACCAACTTAATCTACTAACAAATTTTCAATCACTAACTCAATTTGCCCAAAACCACAAAAACAATGAGAAATCACCAAAAATATTTGGACAGCCAAACAATAAGAAAAATAGTTATAAAATATAACTTTTAGAGAAACTATTTCTGTTTATGAATCACTGGTTACTTTTTTATGTTTGAAATGATTCCTTAGAAAAGAAACATCGACAGAAAAGAGATACTGTGTAGGCACATTCAGTCTTCTGTCACAGCACTGAGCATACATAAATTGTAGAGTAATAGTGCTATAAAAACATTATTGGTACATTATTTTGATTGTAATAACGAGCCCATATTTCAAAAATTTAATTGCCGGAAACAATTATACACTTCAAGGCCGTGTTTGGTAGAGCTGATTTTCCTTATCTTGAATAATTCGGTGAATAGTTTGTCAAAGCTTTGTGCCTTGGTTTTTAATTAGTCAATGGTTTCACAAATCTGAGGGGTTCAGTTCATCTTCAGGATATTTACTAAGGTCAATTTCTTTCTGTTGAACTACCTGAGCACGATTTTAATTAAGCAGGTGTTTGGACTGAATATTCTATTTCCGTAGTACTTGGGTTATCTCGTTCAATATATATATATATATCTCCATCTGAGTCCATGAAAGCTAAGAATCAGAGCTGACTCGGAGGGGGAGATGAAAAAGTAAAGAAAAATGGCAACAGTTTATAATAAGCGAGAAACAAGGAAATATCGTAAACTGGCGGAATCAAAAGAAGCTAAGCGTTTGTAAAGAAAATTTCCAGGAGCTTCTCACAGGAGACAGGGGCGCCCAGAAGTGAGTTTCATAGCGCAAGTTGCGCAACCAAAATTTTGAGGGGGGCATTCGACAAGGTTATGAATTTTCGAAATGAAAAGGTTTAAATCAAAAGATAAGGGAAAGCAGAGAACAGAACAGACTGCACGATGTGTGATTGTATATAATCTAGGATTTTTTAAATTCCACCATCGCTTGTAAATTTTCTTTTTTTGGGGGTTCTTCCCTTCCTCGCCTTTAAGGCGGGGATTTAAAAGACTCCCTCGGCACCGGGACGTGAACTCGTGACTATTTACAAATCCATTGTCTCATATATCAGGTTGCCAGGTAACGGCGGTGCTGTGTACACACGTTAACCCGTTCGGCCATCCTACCCACACGCTTGCAATTTTTAAGAAGAAGAGAGCATTCAAATATTTTGGTAAAGGTGAGGGAAGGTTTATCTGCCATTGACCTTGGGGTGGGGGAATAGTCACCCCTGACTAGAGGTATAATTATAATTATAATAATTAGTCATTTATTTCCAGAGTGAACCCTAATTATCATTGACGATTTTTCAAACCGTATTATAAAAATCATATTTAAAATAAAAAGTAATAATTTCTTTATTTGTAGTAAATATTTCAAATATCATTAATCATTTTAATAGTAATTAAAAAATATAGCAACTTAAATATGGCCGCTTTTGGAAAAAATTAAACTTCAGGATCCATTTTAAAACAGAAAAAGATCGATTGGAATTCAGTTTTGAGAGTAGAAAATTATTTATGATTCGGCGGGAAACGTTATTAAAATCATACTGTAAAAATTTAAATTTTTGTTTACAATAAAAAAGCTCTCGATGTATTTTTTTTTAAAATACCTAAAAAATGCAAGTGTCATAACCTTTTTTGAAAGAAAGGCTGCTCATAAAAGAAATTTAAATTCACACTACTTTTTTTTTTTTTTTTTTAAATATTTAGGTTCATTTTCGAAAAAAACGACAAAAATAATTGAACCATTGGATTTATTGGGTGCTTTTTCATAAGAAGCAATTCTTATCTCGATCGTTTTTCAACCTTCAAACTTGGTAAACCTATCGAAGCAAAAGATTTACAACTTCGGTTCAATGAATTTTTGTCGTATCTTCCATAGGTTATAATTACCATAGAGACAGAATCTTAGATAGACCAATTTTTAGCTTTTCATTTATAATTTCAAAATGGTGCTTAATAGAATCACCAGTAATGTAAATGTATTTTTATATTTCAAGCAGAAAAAAAATAATTATTTTTTCCCCTTATTTATATCCATTAATAATAAAAATTAATCAATGGAATAATTTTTAGTACTACTTTATAAAAGTTGGTTCACTTTGATGGGTGAGTAGAAGATCACATGATCTCAATATAGAAGGAATACTGAGAATGGCCTAGTGTTAATTTTTTCCTTATAAAATTGTAAAAATGGAAAATTTACAATTTCCTGTTGTGTGATATATTTATTCTTTAATAAACAATATAATTAGTTTTAAAAAATTACTCAGACCTGCATACTGTAAAGAAGAGAAATGTTCAGAATTTTTATCTTCTTTGTAATGAGCCATTGTATCTTTAATTATTTAATTATCCCTATGTACAGGAGGGACAGCGCTAATCTTGGATCCAACTGTCCGCTTTGAGAGCAATGACGTCGATCAGGCGGGTGAAGTGGAAAGGGAAAAGAGGAACATATACGAAAAATTCATCCCTTTCTTAAAACAGAAATTCAGTGAGATCTTCGGAGAGAGTTCACCGTGAGAGGCCTCTGGTTTGGGTCGTCGACCCGAAAAGAACTAGGAGATTCCTCGAGGAACTAGGTGTTGATTTTGGGGAGCTAACGATATTGGCCGGAAATATTATTTTAGACTCCCTAGGGATCATCCACTATCATCCACTGATTGAGGACGTCTTGTATTGATTGTTTATTAAATTTTAAATTTGGCAATAATCGTCTTATATTTTTGTCTGCATCCGAGGAATTGCTGTGTTATGTATGTGTGCGATGTTGTATTGAAATCCGGGCGTTTGAGAATTTAAGAAGAAAAAGAAATTTTTTTTTTTTTTTTGTCATTTTTATCTGAAAGAAATGTTTATTATGCTATGTCTATTGTTTAATATAGTTTATTGTTAATGATTAGTAAGAGTATTGTTATGAAAGAGGAGAAAAAAAAAAGAAAGGAAGATATGTGATATATATATATATACATATATATATATATATATATATACATATAAAATAGAAAAATGTAATATAAAATTAATGTCCTTATGGATTGATAAGTATGCTGTGTACGAAGCAACCCAATGTACTAGGGCA